GTTTTTTTTATTTTATGATGTCATTCATGTGACGTGTGTAGGTGTCACGTAAACTTTTTCTCAATGTAACAATTGAATCACGTGATTGGATGTTACATACTGAACATAACTTATAAGAACATGTACATAATGTAAAACATGAATCACGCGAACGCGTGTGTAACGTAACACATGAATCACGTGAACGCTTGTGTAACGTAAAACATTAAATCACGTGAACACGTGTGTAACGTAACATATAAAACACGTGAACGCGTGTGTAACGTAAAACATAAATAACGTGAACGCGTGTGTAACGTAACACACGAATCACGTGAACGCGTGTGTAACGTAACACATGAATCAGTGAACGCGTGCTTAACGTTACACATGAATCACGTGAACGTGTGTGTAACGTAACACATAAATCACGTGAACGCGTGCGTAACGTAACACACGAATCACGTGAACGCGTGTGTAACGTAACACATGAATCACTTGAACGCGTGCTTAACGTAACACATAAATCACCTGAACGCGTGCGTAACGTAACACACGAATCACGTGAACGCGTGTGTAACGTAACACACGAATCACGTGAACGCGTGTGTAACGTAACACATAAATCACGTGAACGCGTGTGTAACGTAACACATAAATCACGTGAACGCATGCGTAACGTAACACACGAATCACGTGAACGCGTGTGTAACGTAACACACGAATCACGTGAACGCATGTGTAACGTAACACATAAATCACGTGAATGCGTGCTTAACGTAACACATAAATCACCTGAACGCGTGTGTAACTTAAAACATGAATCATGTAAACGAGTGCTTAACGTAACACATGATTCATGTGAACGCGTGTGTAACTTAACACATAAATCATGTAAACGCGTGTGTAACGTTTCACGTGAACGCTTGTGTAACGTTTCACATGAATCACGTGGACTCGTGTGTAACGTAAAACATGAACCATGTGAACGCGTGTGTAACGTAACACATAAATGACGTGAACGCGTATGTAACGTAACACATAAATCACGTGAACGCGCGTGTAACGTAACACCTGAATCACGTGAACGCGTGCTTAACGTTACACATGAATCACGTGAACGTGTGTGTAACGTAAAACATGAATCACATGAACGCGTGTGTAACGTAACACATGAATTATGTGAACGCGTGTGTAACGTAAAACATGAATCATGTGAACGCGTGTGTAACGTAACACATAAATCACGTGAACGCGTGTGTAACGTAACACATAAATCACGTGAACGCGCGTGTAACGTAAAACATGAATCACGTGAACGCGTGTGTAACGTAAAACATGAATCACGTGAACGCGTGTGTAACGTAAAACATGAAGCACGTGAAATCATGTGTGATTTGCGTAACCATAGACCTTAAAATCTCATTCTAAGGTCTATGGCGTAACACATAAATAAGGCGAACTTGTGTTTAACGTAAAAACAAGGAAACATTTCCTCACTTAGCAGATTTAATATGATGATTAAAACCGGCATAGTCTTTTTCTCAATCACATATCTATACGTGAGATAATTAATTAATAACAAAAACAAATCCATTTCCGGGCCTTGATATTGAATATTTGAATAAATTAAACCACTATTCTGTCTGGTATACACGGGGCATTACGTATACAAACGAGCGTAGATGGCGTATGAATGTACATGTAATATTAATGACTATATTACTCATGTTTTTTTTTGTTCAAACACTACACTCAGATTAATCGCGTTGGTCGCTACGGGGTAACTATCACACTGATGTGCTCGAAGTGTGTGACATCACAGTTCAATATTCTCCATACCGACCATTATGCCACAATCACAGCATCGCACGTCTCTGGCAGGATTACGTCACCCGTTGTAGTTAATTGGCTTCGTTGGTTGTATTATCAATTATGGATATTAACAATGTTTTTACGACAAATATTAAATATATATTTACATTTGCGACATTAAAAAAAGAACTATTATTTTCTCGAGTTTTGCTTTTAGATCCAGCTGACGCACAGCTTGTTTCAATCATTACAGACTCCATTGTTGCACGGGTGAATAACAACTGAATTTGATTTCTCGCTTTAAATATCTACAAATTCAACACTTGAATTTGAATTACTATTTGCACACTGATTACCACAGTCTTTTTCAAAAAAAACAAAACAGTGTTGTTATAGTGTACAAAATTTTTCGTCAGATCGATTTCAGGGCGCATTTGTAAACGAACATATTAAGCCAAGTGGCCGTATATTACTCCGTAACTTATTGCCAGAATTTTTATTCGGTGAATCGTATTCGTCTCATTTGATCAACGTCACTGCTCTGGCATGGACATGCGGCAGGTGTTTATAATTCTTTCTATGTGGCTAGGGCTGTGCCTAATATCGTGGTTGTTTATTTTGGGTCGTTTACTCGGGCTAACTGGGCCTATACCACCACGAAATGGATATGGTGAACTCAGATGCAACGTTTTGGAGAGTCGTGGTTTCCGCTGTGCAAGGCATCAACCAAATAAGGTAGGACAATTTAAATATTGACACTGTAAATATTATCGCAACGTATGTTTGGGGTATTTGCCACAATATAACATGATGGTAAATGTTAAAAACTGTAGGGTCGGGTAACATTATTTTACCTCCCAGGCGTATTTGTGTCACATATGACACCAGCAATCCGATGGATTACTGTATTATGGGCGAAATAAAACGTTTTTTTTTTTATGGATGAAAGCTTTAAATCCTTTGTATACGGAAATATGGTGGAAATAGTGGATTAATCGAAAAAAAAAACGTCCCTGAGTGCAGTATGTTGTTTGGAAGCAAAATATCGGATATTACATCTGCTATAATACTCGGACTAAATTAGTCTTTTTCAACTGTCATTGTCGATTACATTTCTGTTTGTACCTAAATGTGTTATTAACTTAAGCACCTGTAGACAAGTAATCGCTTATGTGCGTTTTATTTGGACTGTGAAAAGAGTAAACAAATGAAACAAATTATTTGTCTATACGAAAGAAATGTACAATGCATGTACATTCTAATATCGTTATCATTGGTTACGTCCACACTAACTTGCCAGCTGTTGCACTATATTTACTGCAATTGTGCTCACAATAAACCAATTATATTTCACAAAATGTGCGCATGTTACGTACGATTATACAGTAAATATAAATATTTGTTAATGTGTGTTGGTTCGATATTGATAGACGTATATACATAATGAAAGTATTCTGAATTGTATTAGTTATAGTGAGAAATTCAGTATGAACTTGACCGAGTCTAATAATCCAGAACAATTATAGTCACGTGATTTATTTTTGTTGTACTAGAAATTATTTTAATTGGTGAATTTGGCATGATACCACTAACGGAATATCTCCACGAATCCCCCACCTTCCCAACCGAATTGCTTCCGATTTGTCACAATTTATGGCGAGCCTTGACTAATTGTGAAAAATATCCATATGTTACAAGAGTGTTGCAACCAAGCACCCATCTAACATTTAGTTATGTCACGAGGATGGGACTGGATAGAGCTGTTAGGTTTGTTAGAAATCCGAAGTATCTGTACATATAATATAAACAAATAAGGTGAAATATGATCATCCTGTCTGGCCCATATTAATATGTATTATGTTTTTGTCCCTCCCCCCATTAATAACACAATTCATAGGATTGACCAGTCTAAGACTGAATTAATTGCAGCAGCAAAGAACCACAATTAAATGATTTTGAGTGCAGGAAATACACAAACTCATCCCACACTGTCAAATACTTCGCGGAAATCTACAGCTAACAGCTAACAGATAAATCAAGTTTATGGAAATAGTTAACGCCCTCTATTAAACGAATACCGTCTCCAATTTTGCGATGCTATATAAAAAGAGTATGTGTTTCGTTAATGGGTGTATCTAGCACTATTCGCTCAAAATACATTTTGGGTCAAATTTATGGTTGGTATGTTTTAGCGGTCGCAGGATGTCAATCCTCTCTTTTTCTTCATCTAGTGTTATAACAACGTTGACTGTTAAATTGTTGGCAGATATACAGCATTTAGTGAGTTTGTGACTATTCGTCAAATATTAGTTCTCATTTTAATGCGGGGGTTGTTGCATCGTTGTGAATAAACTGGCTATTTTCACCCCTCCAGTGACTGTGAATTTATTGTAATTGTCTTTTTGTATAATGTCGGCTGTGACGATTCTGCGTTGTACTGCATATTATTCAAATATATGACGTAATATTTTCGTATACATTCATATATATTGTAGTTTACGTAGCGTTTTACTAGTATCCGAGGTATGAATACAAGGGAGCCCCTTTCCAGTAGTGTTAACCTCCCCCACGACGGCCTTCCGTGTACAAAAATGTCACTTGCATACAACATAACACGTACAAATCTCCAATTTCAATATTTTACAGGAGTTGACAGACGGATATCTGTCACATAGAACAATCCGATCGCAAGCTCCAATGACGATGCCAAGGTATCTGTTCCCAATACAGACGAAGAATGGCCCAAGCTTCCAATACCAGGGTATCAAAGCGGCCTTGAAGGTGGCATTGTTGGAAAACAGAACTCTAGTGACGAGCTCTTTTTTTAAATACGGACGTTTTGAGATTGATTCTGAACGCTTGTTTCAAGAGACGTTCGACGTCGATCATCTCAGGAAATTAATGCCTGTAGCGACAGTGACGGAATATAAAGACGCGTGTAAGAATGAGAGTATTACGGTGATGTGGCCGCAAGATATTGATTTCAACAACACCTACTTCAAAACAGAACTTGAGCAGCTTAGGGCCTTAGTGAAGAACATTTTTGATATAGTCATTCCAGACCCAGACGAGACAAGCCAGGGCCAGAAAACGCCGGACGATCAGGATAAATGTGTTATGTTTTATATTAATGATGGAATTGTTCAAAACCCGTCTCCAATACAGAGTCGTACAATCACAGATTTGTCTGATTTTCACCTGCGACGGACAGGCTTTATCAGGGACATCGGAAGCAATGCAATGAGTTACATTTGTAATGGACATCGGTTTGCTGCCCTTCACTGGCGGAACAGGACAGGCGAAGTGTAAGTAGGTCAATATAAACCACATAGAAACCACATGTTACTATGACAACCACAACCCCACGTTCTACGGTTCATAAAAATTATTGAAAAGTACGTTTTTTGGACCTCCCATTACATATAACGAAATATTAAGATCGCACTTATGATTTAAGTAACATTTTAAAAATAATATATATATCAATAATAGTATCATATCTTTTCATTCCATGCTATTTTTAAAATGATTTTCATTCCATCCTATGTCACAGAAAACAATTTCGAGATGTGACAGCTTCTGGGTACTCCTGGGTTTGAAAACAAAATGCATTGCCACAGAATAGTGATTCATCAAGTTTGTTAGCTACTAGCGAATTCCTGGGCTGGTTAACACCCTGCTGTACACTTTTTAAAAACAGGTTTTTGAAATAATCCGAAAAAAGCAATGAAATTCACGAAATTTATAGCTAACGCAAATTTATATATACGGTACTCTCGAGCGGAGCTGCGTTACAAAACGTTCTATGTTGCTAAGACGCGCACCGCTGTACCTTGTATTTCTATGGGCTTTATGGGAGCTGCTGTGGGACGCCGGTCGAAGAATCGGTGAAAATAGCTAAAGTCAAAAAACAGAAAAAAACATCTGTGACACAATCCTGAACAACCATGTTGTACATGTAGGGATAATTTTGTCACATTGATCAGGAGAGCCACAACAATTAGCCCAAAGTACATTTTTCACCGGTTGTTTTCAACCGTCGTTTTCACCGGCTGTGTTTGCCAGACGGTGAAATTGCCTTGGTGTTTGCTCAGGCTCCCGGGCCCGAGAATGTAATGCATATATGCATTGGGGTAAGTTCAACTAACATTTTCGTATTCGCAAAGCACCATGGTCATACCATCGCGCTGTGTCCCCTGCGGTCACGTGTGCATCGCGTACCATGTTAATTATTTACACACAATTCGAGCATGCGCATTGTGACGACAACGGTGCTTTAATTAATGTTTTATGTAAATGGTAGTTAGGGGAATAGAGGGCGGTATTTGACCTATCACAACTTCTAATTTGAATATGCAAGAGAATGAAATACTAACGCTGACATATTTGCCTGTAAAACATGGCTATGTCTACAAACAGATAAAATAACAACGATGTAGACAGTGGCTACAGTTCCGGTCGCGGGTTTACGCCACTAGCCCCCTGCCATTGGTCATCATTTGCTAATAGAAGCACTTTTTGATTTGAGCTGTAGTGTACTTTCCCATATGTCGTTGATGAGTACAGATATAAACTCGTTTTTAATGTTCATGTCATGTTGTGTCTGCGAAACTTCGAATCATTATCATCTAATATTTATTCACAGATTCTTTCTGTACTCTTTTCAATGAAATCGTTTGAAGGGCTTGTTACTTGAACAACATATTTCAGATATTGCACCTTATTAAAGTATGATATTCTTTGGGCTGTGATAATATTTCACATGTTCTCATTAAAATATTTGAATGACAAAGTTTCCCGTTACTTGAAAGCTTGGTCTACACCGTTCCCCGTTATTTTTGAAAGTTTGTATTCACTCCTCAGGCTTATTATTCCTCACAAAAAATATGATTTCATATGGATTCTGAAAAAGAAGGATATTATATATTTCTGATAAAAAGGTGGATTCCAAGTCGACAGAACGCTAGGAAAAGGAGTCCTTTCCAGAAACCTTTATATATCTAATCTATTCTAGTACTGGTCCTTCTTCCGCCGATTCGGCTCACGGTAGTGTTAGTATCTATATTCACAACAAGCGTCAATCAGTTCAATATATGTATTTTGTTTGTATGTATATTAGTAGTATCACGAAAAGTCAGCAACCTATAGAGGGCGTGTTGCGTGTCTGAAACGTGAAACTACAACACTGAGGAAATTGAGGGCGTATTACTATTTTCAGTAGAAAGTTAGTCGTATATCGTGAGGGCGGTATACGGGGTTATCATTAAGGGTCAACGCGGCTATTAAACTAGAAAAAACGAGGACATTCTAAAAACAATACAAATTTTTAATATATTTTTAATAAATGTTATATAAAATAAAATTAAAAATATAAAAACCAAGGGTACACGAACTAAGCGGTTCATACGTCACGTTAAGCCCCAGTCCGACGGCAATTGTGTTGATTTCATAATGGGCAAAATTACAAAACCAGTTCGGGTAAAATATTTTTTATTGAATTAGCCAAAACACGATAATCTACATTTCACACGGTGTCTCCAAATCAACACACAATTTTTTACATAGAGAGTGCTCTATGACAAATACTCTTGTTCATGTTTAATACATATCCACTATATACGTTATATATACTGTATAGAGCAGGCTTAGTAGGGAAATAATCAAAACAACGGTGTTGAGAGATTACAGCCACGTAACCATGCATACACGATATTGAAATGACACAGGAATAGTAGGGGATTACTAGCAGATGTTACAGATTATGAAAACACTATCATCGAAAGCGAACAGCGCACCTTAATTTAATGAATTAGGAACGAACAACGATTGTTGGATGATTAACCGTTTTAACTCAAAAAAGTGGCAACTGGGTGGACATTCCAGCGTATTGAAGTATTCCTGTAGCTATCCAGCAAAACTGACGATCTCCGATAAAGGATTTGAAAGTGTGCGAATGATAGTGTGATTGACCTACCCTGTTATTTCATGATTCGCCTATTCATAATTTCAACACAATCTACACTAGGTGGCACCAAATTTCACGCATTGAGCTCCGCCATATTGGTTTTACAAGATGAAAAACGCCTGTCTTGATCTTACTGGTTACTTATTTGCGTCGCTTCTAACTATGTCTCTCATCGTGAATATGATTTTATTTCACAAGAGCAACCATCAGCCGCCGACCTCCTTTCGACGTGCCGACGCCACTTATGATAGTTTGGATGGGTATCAGAAAATGATGATTCAATGTAAGATTTCGCCATGGTTGTGCAACAATGAGTACCCTAGCATAGAGACTACGGAGCTTGTAGGGGTAAATAATGATGAAATGGACCTGAACATCAAGGCCATCACGGTACTATCATTTTTGTCCGCACATCTGCATACTTGGAGGTCATAAAACACGTGTTTCGCCATTTTGTATTCAATGCAATATACGCCCATGCTTATACTATGGTTCTTGTTTTAAGTTAAAGGGTCGATGTCCATATATTTTGCACGTTGGTTGCATATCCACACTGAATTGCCTGCACCCATGTATACTATAAATCTTGTTTAAGTTAAGGGGTCGATGTCCCAATTTTACACATTGGTTGCATGTCTACACTGAGATCCCATCAGCTACGTTCCCTATGGCACTTGTTAAGGTAAAATATATATCAATGTAGATATGTTGCACACTGGTTGCATATCCATACTGAATTGCCTACACCCACCTATACTATAAATCTTGTTTAAGTTAAGGGGTCGATGTCCCAATTTTAAACACTGGTTGCATATCTATACTGAACTGCCAACACCCAAGTTTACTATAATTGTACAAGATATGGGATCAATGGCCGTGTTTCAAAACAGTAATTGATATTTGAAAATGTTGGTTTTTCATTTTGATTTTGTTTCTGAATAATAATTATTCACATACTTTTGTAATAAGAGAAATTCAAAATAGCCTGATAATATTTATTTCTGTTTTGCTTAAAATCAATAAATAAATATAAATTCATCAATTGAATTACTCTAACAATAAATAATTGTGTGTGTTATACTCGAAATTGCAAACGAAAACGAGGATGAATTTGTAAAGCGCTTCAATTGTTTTTTTTTTTTTAATTCGACGCGTGTCCTAATTAACATAACCTTAAAGCATGGCACAGTCACATTAGTTTGCTTGTAGATCAAAAATTCGATGTATGCGATTATACCAAAATAACGTATTTTCATCTTGACATAGCGAATAGATTGTCGATAATAACTATTTTCAATTGCTTTTAGTTTTGGTAGTGTGCATTATATATTCACGAACCATCTGTTGATAAATACAAAGGTATTTAATCACGTTTATGCGATGTCAGTAAATTATTATAGGATTTAGATAGCCATATAGGAATGCGAGGTAGTTATAATATTGCAAGTATTATTGTTTAGTACTCTTATAAAATTGCATCGCATGCGTCACTTAGTGGTCGGTGTTTTTTTTAATCAGATATCTTTTCAATAGGTAAATATGACACATTTTATAATCCAATTTGGTAAATTATTTTTTTATTGAGTCTGGTCTAATTATAGTCCAGTGATGAAAAATACATGTAATTGTCATTGAAGCAAGCATGTTTCCTTCGATGTACACATATACACAATGATTGTTTCGTTTTTCTAAAAGGTTAAATCAGAGAAGGTAATATTAATGGCTGATTTTGTGATCTCCCTAACTATAAAATAT